TGTACTCTTGAAGATCGATTAATTTTAGTTGGTGCTAAAAGGTACACCTCTTCAAAAAGTGTTGTCCAGAAACTCAAGCTCTCAAAATTTCCCATTGGTCATTTGATTGTTAAATAAAATCTCTGTCAGGTGAAGAGATCCTTTGTCTAGACTAATATTATATTTCTGTTTTATTAACTCAGTGGGTGAGACAGGTTGAACAATGTAGACAAATCTAGAAGTGTTTTATTTATAAATTCACAGATATCAATATTTTCTTATAAATGATTTAATCTTATAGTTACTTAATTTCTGCTTATGTTTTCTCATATAAACAAGGATAGATAATTACCATTTTATAGGAATATTGTGAGAATTAAATATGTTACTCTATAGAGAGCATTTGGGATAGCATCTGTCACATTAGTATTATTATTGTATTATTATTATTACTACATGTCATGTTTTCAGTTAAATAATTAAATTTATATATATATGTCATCAGGATTACTATGATGAAAAGTTTTGGAAAAACTCAGGTTTAATGTTCATATTACCTGCTGAAGGAGAAACAGCCAGGACTCAGTGGTCACAGAATTCACATTTCTAATTCTACAGATAAAACCTGGTTAAACCATAAACCCATAATTTGGAATTTATGGTATTTTAGGGGAAATTTTACTTTCCAGTTTCTGTGAGGTTTGCCAGACAAATAAATAGAGGGTATTTTTGACTAGCATAAGGAGGAAAGGTAATACGATTTAAATTTACTGTAAGAATATCCTTTAGCACATAAAAATAAACGTGCAGACATGTTTAAGATACATGGAATGGTTATTTCCAAATGGTAAAATGGCTCTTATTTATTTATTATAATAAGTCCAGGAAGCCATATATTTGACAGGACTTTATTAGTAATTGGTGAGTTTCTGCTACTGTATGTACTTAAATTAATAAACATATAGTTTCTTTCTACATATTACTCGACTTCCTCCCTACTTTTCAATATTGCAGACATTTCTGCACACCATTTTTAAAAAGACCCCAGTCAACATTTGAAGCTAAGGGATCTATTATTCATTTTTAAAAATAATGATAAATACAAATGTTCAAATGATTCAGCAAAGCCGGAAAACCGCATTCCATAAGAGCCTCATCACTGCTGATGCTTCACAGCAGCAGGTCAGGGAAAATGACCTGGTGCCTGTGGGCATATTCCATACTGTTCTTCAGCAGCCAAAAGACTATGATATGGAATATAGCACCTTACACCCTCTCCACCAACTAAATTGTGTTAGTTTCTAGGGAGGGAATCAGGGTGGCAGAGGTACAGAGCGATTTGCCTTTTGAAAATTTTATACCATAAGTATGTAAGATCTGTTCAAAAATTTAAAAACTTTTTAAAGGATTTGGTATGGTTGACTAGTCCTTCCTTATTAGAATATTCTCTTTTCTTGGGTTTGATCACAACACTGTAGTTTTCCTCTTACCTTTTGAGACACTCCTAATTTCAGTCTTCTGATGGCTGTAATTGTCCTTTACCAGAAGATTCTCTTCTAGATCCCATAGTCTTCTCAGTATGTTCATCCTCCCTGAATAAGTCTCATACACTCCTGTGATCTAAGTTGTTTATAGCCTCAGGATAATCAAATGTACACTCAATCATTAAAACATATGTGTTAAGGATCTACAATTGTCATCAGGTACTAGACTGAAGCAGGGAATAGAGCAGACAAAACTATTTTTTTGAGTTTTCATTCCATGCAGAAAGATGGAAATAAAATAGGTGAGATAGTTATATGTCCTAAAAAAAAATATCAAAGCAGAAAAGACAAATAAAGTATTAGGCTGGAACACGGAGATTTTGTATTGGCCCCCCTTGCTTCTCAGTCATGAGCTTCAGGTGCAGATATCAAAATACCCAGTGAACCTTGTATGGCTAGCAGGGTCCTTAAAACTATCACCCAAAGTGACTGTGTCATCCCCATCAACTTTCTTCTGCTGCTACTACTGAAGTGTTCAAGCCAGAAACGCATGAGTCATCTTTGGACCCTTCTTCTCTCTCATTCCTCATATCCCATCTGTCACAAGGCGTAGCCAGTCCTACCACGTAACCCTGGCCACCTCTCTCCATTCTTCACTGTCACTAATTCAGACCAACATCACCTCTCATCTGGATTCCTGCAATAACAGATTTCCTACAGCCATTACAATCTTCCTTCAGTGTCATTAAACCTCATCTTGTCACTTTTCTACTTCAGCTGATCAATGGTTCCAAACTGCTCCTGCCCGGCTCTCCTGCTGCATCACTCTTGGTGCCATTCTAACCCTCGTCCTCTAGTCTTACTGTTCTTCCTTCATTCTTCATTTATGTCATCCTGTCTTGGGACAGGGTATTTGCGTATACCATTTCTTCTTCCCACAACATTCTTCCTCCAACTCTTCATCAGTCTAACCATCTTTCAAATCTCAGGTGAAGCATATCTTCATCAGGCAGGTTTAACCCAAATCCTCAAACTGAGTTATTGGCAACAATTATGGATCCCATAATATCCTATTTTTCCTACTTCACAAATACATTACACCTCTGAGAGGATAATGAACACGACTGCTTTTTCAACACGTTATCCCTAATGCTTGTCAAATAATGTTTGACATAGAGTAGGTGGCAATACATACTTATTGGATAAATAAATGAATATTAAAGACTAAGGTCAGATTATTGGTGACTGTTCTTACTTAGCATTTATATGCTCCATACTCAGAATTGATTCTGAATCATGATCTCTTAAGAGTACTTACATTTTATATTTTCATTGTTCAGCTGGGATTTTGCAGGAGGCTCCTCAGCAACTGACACATCTCTAGATTCTAGCATTGCTCCCCTTTGCATACTGTTGTTCCAGTTTTCACATTGCTGGACAGTGTTATTAATAAAGTCTTCCAGGAGATGTTCTAGTGTTGATTCTGCTGTACAATAAGGACCCACCTTGGGTGTGAATTCATGTCAGGTTTTGTACATGGTAGGAATCTCTCTCTCATTAGTTACAGCTATTGGTTAAGAACTGTCCCTAATAAATTAGCACATAAAGCAAAGAAATACTCTTTTATCTTATCTTCTTTCAATTATTGCTTAGGTCTTTAATATATTTCCTCTTAACCTCACCTTAATTCTCTGGAAACATCTGCTCCTCTCTTTTCAGGTCAGTCTAAGATAACTGCATCATGTTTATGTCCACTTAGTCTTTATAGATTAATGCTATTAAACCTGGTTTGCTTTCCTGCCCTTTCATTATGCCTTATTTATTAAAAATTGCCTTTATTTATTAATCACATGCCAAATGCTACACATATATTTACAACATTCTACAATTGAATGGAGAAGGTACTATTATTTTTCTCATTTTTACAGAGGAGGAAACAGATTTTGAGAGGTTGAGACCTGCCCAAGTCACAAAGACACTAAGCATTTGAACCCAAAGATATGCCTCCAGTTCCTTTGAAACTGTTAGCCCTGTGCTATTGTTTTGCTTGTTGAAGTGCAAGTTACTTTTATTTTAACTCTGCCCTCTTCTCCCTTAATTTGCTGTAGATAGTAGGCCTTCAATAATTACTTAGTTAGCTGTTCACTGAGCCATTACAATTAGTAGTGATAGCATTATTAGCAGATGACAGTGTTTGTGGTTTTGTTCTTTCATCCCAAACTGAAGTGAGCCTAAGAAGGAGGGGCTGGCAGTACAGAAAGGGCAATGTGAATAACTAGGGGTCAGAAAGAAAACTGTTTTGAGGTGTATACAAGAGGAAGAGATTTCTAGGTCTTCAATTAATAACCTGGGGATCAAACTGCTTTAGGAATCCTCTGGATATAATGCTAATAATCTAACCTTTGTTCTCCTTTTAATATAGTTAGCTTGTGCCCCATTCCATTCTGTAGTAGTGAGAGGAAAATCAGCAATTTTCCTCTGCCATAAGTCTACATTATGATTCCTGTAACTCTCAACCCAAGCAATTACAGATAGGAGAATTACAGATTTAAATTCTATCTTTATGTGTGTATCTTTGGACACACTCCTTTGAGCCTGGAGCCCGAAGAACGCCAGGCTGTAAGAGCTGCACAGCGTTCGGTGCTGTTTACTGTTTCTAATCCAGAAAGTCCCACTCAGCTCTCCCTTCCTCGCTCCTTCCACCCTAGGAGAGCGGTCGATTCCCGCCTCGCAGCCCTTTCGTCTCCACACTTCTCTTGGAGACAGTCCCCCAAACTGCCCCAGGACAACCTTCTGACTTCGGCGAGTAAGGAGGAAGGCTGTCAAGAGGTAAATGGGTCAAGAGGGCAGCGAGGCACAGACCCTGAGGATCCCGGGTGCCGCGCAGACCCGGAGCCTGCGGACCCACCCCGGCCCCAGGCGGCCGCCCCCTCCTCTGCTCAGGCGCCGGCGGCGCCAGCCGGGTACCCGGCGCACGCGCTCCTCCCGCAGCTGCCGAGCGCTGCGCGGGCGCGAGGAGCGCCGCCTCAGCCGGGCGCCCGCAGCCTGCAAGGTCGCGGACGAGCGAGAAAGGTAGTCTAATGGTTAGCGACTCCAGCTTCCGCTGCACGTCTAGCCACCTGGGTGACCTTGGGCAAGTTTCTTAGCCTCAGTGCGCCCGTTTCTAAATCCACAATATGGGGAACCTGAGGTGATAGCTGAAGCCTAGGCTAACTGTAAGAATTAATTAATAAAGCACCCTGGAAGTAGCGGGCGCTCGGTTATGGTAACAATGATCAGGAGGAGTTGGAAGTTAAAATGCTGGTAGTCCATCACGTAGGTTTGAGCTCTGACTTTTCCAGATATTCACTGGGAGTGGGGGAAGGGTAGCGAAAGCACGTGCCCCCTCTCCTCTAGCCCCCGGTCCCAAGTTGGCCCGGAAGCCCCAGCCCGGTAGCGCGCCCGGCGCCCGCCGCACGTCTCTTTGCCTCGGGCCGAGGAGAGATTTCTTCCATGAATTGAGTGCCTCGCTCCCTCTCCAACCCCCGAGCTCGAACGCTGCCTCCTGCGCGTCCTGGTGGCCGTAGAGGGCCGGGCCAAGCCTCAGGCGGGAGAGAAACGGCAGCCTCGGGGCGTAAGAGTGTCTCCCCGCCCCGGGAGGGGGTGGCGAGGTCAAGGTGGCGTGAAGACAGGGTGAACGCGGTGCCCCCCGCGCGGCCCCGAGGCCCCTTCTTCATTTTGACTGCCTTCTAGGGACCGCCTTTGGCTTTTCGCGTCCTGAGACACCGACCCTGACCAGCCCGGCGTCCCTACCCGCCACCCGCCCTGCCCAGCTGGGGCGGAGGGCCGGGGGCGGCAGGTCCGCGCGCGGCGGGAGTGGGCGGCGAGCGCTGGCGGGCGAGGTAAGGCGCGGCGGGGGGTGGGGGGAAGCGTGCCCGCACGTGCGCGCGCGTGTGCGCGGCCTCCGAGGGGGCGTGGGGGCAGCCAGGTGCGTCCCACCCGGCCGTCGGCGCTTCCTGCACCCGGTCGCCGCCCAAGCCTGTCGCCCCAAGTCCCATCACCCCTTCATCCAAACTCCACCCTCCTGCTAATAATTTCCCATCGCAGAATCAGCCCGAAACCTGGGAAGGCAACGTTGCCTTTCGGCTCCCCTCGCCCCCACCTCACCCTCCCCACCTACTATAAATAATCAGGACTGGCGGGTCAGGCACGTCACTCGGCTAGAAACCAGGACCCCGAGGTTTTTCTTCTCTGGGAATAGGGGGCAAAGGGTGTGGAGGAGGAGAAAGAAATCTCTCGTGAGTAGTGAAGAAAAGCTTGCTCCTTGACTCCTTAATATGACCAGGCATCGTTTTATTCCTCTTTTCTTTCCCTTTTTTTCTTTTCGAAACATTTTTCCTTTCTTTCTTATTCTCCCTTCCCCGCCCAATACAACGGATTGCTCAGCACTCCTGCCATTGGTTTCTTTCCTCCCTCCCCCTCTACTTGTTCTGGCACCGTCCCCTCCCCTCCCCCGCTGGACAACCCCCACCTCCAGCACCCTTTTCGCCCCAAGCAGGGGTTGCTATTCTCCGAGGAAATAAAGTTCAAACTCCTTTCCCCGTATGCTTGCTGAGACCAGAAGCGAGTTCCTAGCCACCCATCTTCCGCTAGCACTCCACACCTGCTATCCCTTAAATTCCTACTCTGGTCTTACATATTTAAAAGGACACACACACACAGAAACATACACAAACACACACTCATCCACACAACCCCAAACCCGACAACCCGCGAGGTGCAAAACTGCCTCCTGCAACTACCAAAACTTACCAGAGGCTCTAGTTATTTTCGTATTAGGGAAAGGGCAAGGAAGAATTTACTCTGGGTCCTTTAATGGGGTGACTTTTCTATATTATTCAAATATGTATATATTATACATATATATGTTTTTCCTTTTTCCCCTTTAATTTTTTTTTTTTTCTTAATAAGAAAAATCTGCTGGGTCCCAGGCAGCCGCCGCTGCCCCTTTGATGTTTTGGTACTCCGTGCGCATGCGCCTCACATTAGAATTACTGCACTGGGCAGACTAAGTTGGATCTCCTTTCTTCAGTGAAACCTTGAATCCTATCAAAAACTAAAGGGATGTGGAGAGTCCGGAAAAAGGGCTACTTTGGGATTTGGTCATTCCCCTTAATAATCGCCGCTGTTTGTGCGCAGAGGTAAGTGTGCCCAGCGTTTCTTTTTCCTTTCTCACTTTGAAGGGCTCTGCCTGCATACCTCTGTGATCAGGGATCTGTACTGAGAATCAGATAGATGCTGAAGACGCTGTGCCTGCCGCCTTATTGATGCCTATTTGTCTTTTCTTTCTTTAGTGTCAATGATCCCAGTAATATGTCGCTGGTTAAAGAGACTGTGGATAGACTCCTGAAAGGCTATGACATTCGCCTGAGACCAGATTTTGGAGGTAATGGGGTTGCCTTGGAAATAATAAACAGCTCAGCTATAGCCTAAGCTGTATTTTGAGCTTTGTGCGCGCTGTCTTCCCTCTCCCTCAGTGTGGCTGCATGTGGTGCACTGAATGTGTCTGTGTTACCATACTGAAAAACTGATCTAAACTTACGCCGGGTCTGTTACTATCCAACGCTTAGATGGTCTTAGAGTGAGACCTTCTTAGCATGTTTAGGTGACAGCTGTCCTTCGACTTCACTGTTTAAATCCTTTGCTTCACTGTTTTGCTTCGTTGAGATACAAACCTCTTAAGTTTAATTAATGTTGTGCAGAGAACGTGGCTTCCTAAAGGCCATCGTGAACATTTTTTGAGGACAAAATGTGCAGACAGTTGGTTGAGAAGTGGCATTAACCCCCTGTGCCCGCCTACTTTGGAAGAGTTCTGGCCATGATTTAAAGTAGCTCGTGTCTGGGTACTATCAAGTCCTGGAAGTCTCAGGGCACTGCACGGGGCGTTGTGGGGGCGGGGGTGTGGGGAGGCGGGAGAGGGGGTGGGGCTTAGGCTGTTTAGAGGGTAGGGAGGATAGTAGGGATAAGTCCTCTCCTTGCAGCCTTAGATATGCTGATTGTATCCATTTAATTTTGCTTCATACTTGTAGGAAGCCCAAAGAGTTAAAAGCCTGCGCACAGAAAGGGGGTGGAAAGAATGAGGAGGAGGGGGTTTGAGCTCATATATCAAATTTCCTTGGGCCAGAATGATTCCCGTTCTGCTGTTGAGTTGTGTGTATTCTCATGCTCAGACATCTACATATGTAGACGTAGCTGGAATCTCTCGTCCATTAGGACACGTGTGTGCATGTTCAAGAGAGCATTTCCTAGAGATGTGCCTGTCGACCTTATTAAAAAGGCTCAGAAACCAGAGGAATTGAAGGGTGAGCAGTATGGGGAGAGATTTGGGGCAGAGTGTCCCGTGCCGGTGACAACTCATACTAAGAATGAATGAAGTTCTGAGAAATCACGTGGCTGGCCATCTTGGTTTGCAGGTCCCCCCGTAGCCGTGGGAATGAACATTGACATCGCCAGCATCGATATGGTTTCTGAAGTCAATATGGTGAGTATTGTAGTTTATGGCTGCGTCTCCGCAGACCGTCATGTGGGAAGGAGGAAGGAGGAAGGAGCCAGCCAGTGGGGGTGGGGTGTGCATGAGTGTGGATGGAGTGAGATTGAGGGCTGCGGACTTTGCTTTGGAATCCACTGTTTGAGGTTTCAGAACCGGCTTTTTTTGGTTCCCAAGGATTTTTCCAACCTGGTTCAGATACTTGAGACTTGGCATAAAATGAGCAAAATGCGTGATATATTCGCGAGCAGAACGCAGTCACGTGGGGGAGACCCCCTGCAGAAGCCATATTTCCTAAGGTTCACGGGGAAACCCAGTTCATCAAGTGATTTTCTGGATTTGGGGTGGCGTCAGAGGGAGAGGGCAAGGTTTTGATTTGGCCTTTCACAGAGAATGGAAGCTACAAACTGAACTGTAGCAAAGAGACTGAATAAATGACACTGGGATAGTGATGCCAACTTGTTGCTTTCCTACAGGGCCTCTTTATAGCTTATGGAAAGCCCCTCCCGCATTTGTTCACTGGCTCCTTTAACCCCTCCTGCTCACCAAAATAAAATAATAATTGGCCACTCCATTTTCAAAAAGTAGGCTCAGACTCATGTGTCATCTCTGGTCACTTCTGCAGTGTTATTCAACACATAATCCTAAGATTGTGCAGTTTATGGACAGTAACACTCTTTAGCAGCTACCTCCTTGGACTTGGGGCAAGTGTAAAAAAGGAAAAGCCTCTTGTGTTCCCTGTCCCGGGAACACTTGTGGGGGGTTTGCTTCATGCAGGAGCGCCCCCTGCTGCCCATGTTAGGGCACTGCAGACACAGAAGACAAGAGTGAGTGTCCCAGATACCCTGCTTACTTGGACCATTTCTCCAGTGACTTTTCTGTGTTTTTCCCTTTTGGAAAAGTCTCTCTAGAAAGGCTACATTTGAATGTAAGTCTCTAGTGTTATCTTCAATCCTGATAGCACACAGCACATCTCTGAAGATTGTATTATGGCCTGGTCCTGCAGAGAAACGGAATGCACTATTAATGAAGGTGTAGCCTGTAAGGTTTTATGCAAAACACCTCTAAGCCACCCATCAGGACTTGAAAGTTATGGCACTTACCAACTCAACAGAACCAAAGAACTAGCTAGTGGACATGATCTCAAGATAATACAAATTTTCATGTTGCCAGAATTCAAATAAAGTGGAGGCTTAAATTACCAGCCTCATCCCTATACATTCTCCAAAGACAGGTGATATGCCTGAGGCATCGCAAGACAATGAAACATCTTATGGCTACTCCAGGGAGTATTTGACTATTTCAGTAACATTTTAATGACATGTATCTTCTTATATTCTAATTATTGGAAAGTTTTATCATGTAGGATATAAGCACAAACTTAAAATAATACGGGATGATTCAGTACCACCGATTTCCATACACATTATGAAAATCCTCTGTATAGAGAATATTTCTTTCTTGGGAAGCTACTTAGTCTCTCAGATATACAAATATTCATTTTCTGAGATTTTATTGAACTTTCATCAGTTTACTACATATAAAATTTAAAAATGTCCTAATGTGGGTACCTCTAAAGTCCCAGGTACTCAAATCTAAATTGTGTTGCTAAAAACAAAGTGATATAGAAATCAGATGTGGTCCTGTGTGCCCTACATGTAGTTGAATTAGACTCATGTTGCATTTTGATTTATTTGTGTCTATTTCCTAAATTTTATTTTACCACCTTCCTCTTCAGGGCATCACAAAAAATGGAAAAATTCTGAAATATTTAGAATCCAAAGAGACAATGATGAAATGATTAGAAGTTGCTGTGGTAGGTTAACTAAAAGCTTAGATGTATTATAGCCCCAAATTGTTTAGAGTAGTAGTGAGTTTTTTTCTTCTAGTTTTGTTTTTTACCTGAATGCAGTATTTTGGAGAGGTATCTAACCTGGACACTGTGCCAAGACCTGCTAGTCAAAATATAGATTTAGCTGAGGGTAGGTGTCATCTCTTAAAGCTATTTACTGGTGCTGAAAAATCATGGGATGTTGAAAGTGCAAAAACAAATGTCAGGTTGTAAATAGGCCAGTATTGTAGCATTAATGATTAGAACCAAGTGTTAAAAAAGTTCTATGCCAGATTCCTTTCTTAGTCTACTGTTAACACACATGGACTTGTCCAGACACATTTTTACTTGTTGAAAAATTAACATTTATTTCAGCTAATGGATATAGTGATTTTAAATTAGTCCTTCAAAGAAAAATGTTGTGATGTATTTTGATACTATTTTTAAAGATGGTTATATGATCTGAATCAACACGTGGACAATTCCATCACTGGTGTCTAAACAAAATGAGATATTTGTGGCATACTTGCTCCTGTATATAGGTCTAAAAGGATTAGGATCTTTTGACTAGATTCAGTTCTAGATGAATGGTTGATTGATTATTTAAGTGAAATCAATCAAAATTGATTAACACAACTTTCTGTTTCATTATTCTTTGTAGTCTGCAACCTCTGGTAACTGCACTTTCTTTTATTATAGCCAATCTTCTTTTGAAGAATGGTATGTACCATACCATTTATATTGTCACTGACTCGTTTGTACTGGAAAGAAAAAGGCCCATGTCAATATGGTTCTTCTGGTAAATGACAGTGATAGAAAGACCTGAACTGAGTCAGGAGTCTTGAATACCAGTTCTGCTTTGCTGCTCAGTCATCGTGAGGGAATTCACAGCAGATGGGATTCAATTTCCCCACCTGTTACAGGGAGGAACAGTCCCATTTTTACTATCTCAGGTGACTACCAGAATTAATATAACAATGTATCTGAAAATCTTGATGTTCCATGAGCATAGATTATTTAGAAAACCAAATACCAGGCTATCACTCAGGAGACCCAATGTTACTCTAGATGCTGCCCTAAGTGTACTTGTGTCAATAATTTACATTATTAGGTCTCAGTTTCCTTATATTTGAAATGAGAGGGGACATGTTAAACTGAGTTCTAACTCAAAGTTGCATGTGTGTCTGGTTTGGTTTATTATAATAGCTCTGTTATGTACAAATAAGTTCCAGAAAACTTGGAAATCCAACATTAACATAAGGAAAATGCAGAATTCTTAAATGTCATGAAGTTGTAGGTTCTTGCTCAGGAAAGTGATGGTGGTCTCTTAGCCATGTGACTCAGGTGACTGTTGGCCCAAAGGAAGAACACGATCTCAATTAGTTCTTTGGAAGAATGTGATCTTAATTAGAATGCTCCTGAACAGAAAGCTTGGCTTTAGAATGAAATATTTTTAGATGTCTTGGTTAAATTGGCAGGAATCTTTTTGTTAAGATTCTTTGATGAAAAGTACATTTTAAGATCCAAAATTGGCTCTAAGAATTATGGACTGAAATAGCTTTCTCTTCATTTAAAGCAGACTCTTCTCCATCTTGAAACAACACATTTGCTAACCAAGGAATGAAGCAGTATTTCACTTTTGAGGAAAGAGTTCTAGTAAACACATACACAAATTACCTTTTTATGGAATGGCAAGTGGAGAAAAGTGCTGCTTTTTTTTTAACAGATGTTTTTTTGTATCACCAGCTGCACAGTTTAAAATTCAGTTCAACACAGATACTTATTTAGCAGCTACTATGATCCAGCCAACTACTAAGCTTTATAGACAGAGTGGTGAACAAGACTGACTTGTCCCTTGACCTCATAAAACTTAATATCTAGCTATTCATTTGTCTAAATCCTACTCCTACTCATACTTATCTTTTCCCTAAAACTTTTTCTGAGTAGCCAATTGAGTACCTAGTGAGTGCCTCCCGTGAGTTCCTTTGTCACCTGTTGACTTCACCATTCATTATTTGATATTGCAAATTTCCTTAAATATGTTACATATTTAATCTGTCCTCCTAAGTCATGTTTAGAATACATATAAGACAAGGTTATAGTATCTCTCCCCATGTGGTTTTACTCTATATATGCAATAGTTTGTTGGATGCTTGACTCCTGGTGAATGCCACAAATAATGGGTGAGCTATTTGTTTTCATAGCAGTAACTTGTTATTAGTCACTATATGCTTGTATCATATATGTGGAGAAACAAAGCATAGAATCTTAGGCCTCAAATTCAAGGCATTCACTGTTTAGGTCAACAGCTATAGACAGAATTACAATGTAGGTCATAAGTGCTTTGAAAAAGGAAATGCATGGAGCATATTGGGAATACAGAATCCTGAGGTGTTTTACATAGAAATTAGTAGGTGAAAATGGGGGTTAGAGGACTGTGGGTAGGTGTTTGAAGATGAAAGAATGGCATATCGAAGAAAATGACGCAAGAAAAATAAATAGGGTTGGGGATTTGCAAGTAGCTTTAAATGGCTGGAGTTGGGAATGGGGGTGAAGAGGTGAAGGGGATGGAGTTGGTATTGAGATCATAGGTGGTGATCATATTATAAAGATAATTTATGTGGCTTGTTGAAGAATTTTCAGTGTTGTTGAAAAGATGTAGGGACCTATGAAGGGATGTCACTAGCAGAATAGCACGAACAGTTTTACACTTTGAGAAGATGCTTCTGAAGGAAGGAGGGTGGAGAAAGACCTAAGGTTGGGAAATGAGATGAAAACCCCCTGCAAAAATCCAGCAAGAACTGAACAAAGGCAATGGCATAAAGGAGATGCAAAACCAGGGCCTTTACAAGGTAGAAGTGACAGGACTTGGTGAACCCCAAATCTGATAGTATCATTTATTGATAAGGAGAACACAAAAAGACAGCCAGTTTGGGGGTAGAGTGAACACACAGAGTTCAGTTTGGGAAATGTTGACTTTTCTGCATGCATGGAATCTCCAAGTACAGACAGGAAAATATAGGTCCAGAGCTAATTAAGAAGACATGAGTTGAGAGATGAATTTGGACATTGTTAGCATATAAGTGGTGCTTACAACTGTATGAATGGATAAGATTAAAAAGGAAAAGTGAAAGGACAGCTAAAAATGGAGGTCTTTTAGGCA